TCAATCGAGACAACAACAGAAGCAAAGAGAGAAAGGAGAACTCACTCATGGATTTTCTGGCAGTCTGCACTGAAAAGAGGTTACTTTGCCTCAACTAATCGGGTACAGAAGTGCAAAAGTAACCTACGATTATCCTGATTTTCTCCGGTGCGCGGAAGCCATGTTTTTCCAGCTTGTCTACAAATTTGTTGTAAACTACTACATCCTTGCTAGCTATTGAATCCGCATAATCAAAAAATCACGTGTGATCCCGGCGTTCTCATAGTCCCACCAGGCTTCTGTGCGTTTTAAGTTTTGTCCATCTTCTGGCTCTCCGTTATCACCATCTTCTGGCTCTCCGTTATCACCATCTTCTGGGTTATCACGCCCTCCTCGGTTGATTGAGTCCTTCACCATTGCTAACTGCCCATATTAAACAATCATCTCTGTAATCAGTAACCTGAAACTGAAGAAGAAATGGGTATTTAAGTATCCATTACCTTATCTGGCATTTTGTTCTGAGCAAGTGTACGACCCATTTTGAAAGCAGAACTCTTGTTATCACCACAGTCAAGAAAAATTTATAAAGAGATAAAACCATGTCGCCTAGGAAAACACTATCTCGATTGTATACCTCATTTGATTTGGGCTAAAGGAGTTGCTATTTCCAGTATGATTGATGTTCATCATGAGGCCGTCAGAAACTGTACTCATCCCATCATCATATTTCATGTGTACTATAAGTACATCTGCGAGCATCTCCAGAGTATCAAGGTGGCGGGAGTTGAATGAGTCCTTCACCCTTGCTAACTGCAACATAATAGTATCACCAAGGTTCATAGGAGTTTAATCATGACCATATACTTCGGGTGATACAAACATCACAAGACAAGAAATCAAGCAAAAAAATATTACCTTGGTAATCACCAAAAGTGACAAGTCAATACGGTTCATGAGAAGATCCGAAATTGTATTCTGAACATACTCGGCTGCGCTTGGAACGTCTCTATCAATTAGTATTTTGTGAAGACTCTCGGTCACAAGGTTCTTGACCAGTAAACAATTATCCCTTCGTACTGTCTCGATTCCTGCCAAAGCCAGTCATATAGATGTTTATTCTGAAAATGAACAAGATAAGAACAGTGAAATCACGAAGATTTACCTTTAGTGTCCATTTTGTCAAACTTTTGAGGATTTGTCCACAGCAAACCAGCATACCTCTTCTTGTTAATCAGCAGATATGGAAAATAGACCTTCTCAAACTCCAATTTGATGGGCTTTATGACATCATACACAATCAAGAAACAGAGTACGATTCAGCCTTTCTGATAAAATACTAACTGATTCATCTCTATCACGTAATACTAACGGAATTTGCACTGATCTGAGGCAACAATAGAAAACAAATGTAAAAGACCAATTTACAGAGAAAAGGTTTGAACAACATTCTAATTAATTTTCTGAATGAACAACTTAAATAAACTGGCAGTAAGAAGTTCACCTTCAACGCCAACTGTCTACCATCTAAAACAGCCTTCTCAAGCGGATCCTTAGCCTCCTAAATTAGACAATGCAAGTTTCCATAGTAGTTGTCAAAGAGTGCATACAGGTATGAACATACTACAAGAGTCTCTTCAGAATCAAAAGTTCAGTTACCTTTAAATCTGCTTTAGCTCTTTTACGGGCAGTAATAAGCTCTTCAAGGATTTCTGGAAGT